GCTGTCCGTGCGGCGGGCAGTCGGACCCGTTGACAATGCGGCTGCCGCTGCCGCTGCCGTCGTTTCCCCGGATGTCCTCTGTGGCCCCCGTCCCAAGGGCCTGGGTGCTCGTGGAGGTGCCGCTGGGGGCCGCGGGGCTGTTGCAGGAAGCAACGTCGTTTGCAAGCACAGGCTCTGGGTGCAGAAAAGGGGCGGGAAGGGGCTTGGGGGCGGCGCCTGGACTCTAGGGTTTCTGAGGGGCGGGGCCAGGGATCTAGGGGCGGGGTAAAGACCCTGGAGGCGGAGCTTGGAGAGCCGGCTGATGGGGGCGAGGCTCAGGACCCACGGCAGAGCTCTGACGCGACCTCGGGCAGTGGTTAGAGCTCAGTGAGCAGCACCCGGGGCGTGGGCAGGAGAACCTGGACCACCTCCGAGTCGGAGCCGGCCTGAGGGGCGGGACCTGGAATCGAGAAGCATGGCTAGGCCTCAGTGGATAAGGGCAGGGCCAGAGGCCCCGAGCTGAGCCCAGGCGTGGGAAGGGTTTGGCATTGACCTGGACCAAGGCCAAGGCCAGGGGTTATGAGGGCGGGTCTTCCTATAAGGAGCCCTGAATTTGGGAGAGGAGGCAGGGACTGGCTTCCAGGAGTTGAGCACAGGGCTGGAGGGGGAGATCACAGATACTGGGCCAGACGGGGGCCGGGGGTCGGCCTGACCCGAGGTCCTCCTGTAGATGTAGTCTGGCCTTGAGTGCGCTTAAAGAAAAAGGGATGGAGCCCCGACTCATGGGTAGGGCGAGAGTTCGGGGAGCAGAACCAGGAAGGGAGAGAGCAGAGCTGGCCCACGCGTGCCTCCTGGATCCTGCGGACGCCGGCACCCCACTGCATCATCCGCACCCCGTCACGTGTTCAATCATTCACGCCCTCGCTGATAACCCGGAGGAGAGAAGCCTTCTGCACACACGCCAACGAGCACGCACATGACTGGCGCAGACAAGCATACACAGACACACACGCGCGTTGGCTCCACACGTCCGGCCCTGTCCCGTGGTGCAAACACTTCCCAGGCACGCGCAGTGGGGCGGCCTCCCCTGATCTCGCCCAGCCAGCCACACGGCATCTCGGGGACATGCCCGCACACCTGTGCGCATGCGTGCAGAGACCGGAGCCGGGCATCTGCGCTTCTGCACGGAGGCGTGTTGCCATGGCGACGAGACTACGCTTAGGAGAAGCAGCCGGCACAGTGCAGGTTGCGGGGACCACCCACCTTGACGCAGGCAACCACTTCCGCTCGCTCGACCCATCGCTACATTGTTACACGTAGGAGCTACATTGTTACACGTACGAGCCAGCATCGCGTTGGAGCAGCCACGTGCCATCACCCACAAATGCAGCCACACAGAACCTCACGCCGGCCATCAACACACAGTCACAAGCACAGGTACGGGCACACGTTCACGCCACCCTCCTGGGACAGGCACTCCACACAGCCTCCCACAGCGCCACGCACAGCTCGCTGCCACGCCTTCACAGGGTTCTAGTTACCTGTCACCCCCAGAATCAGGGCTGTGATCAGGGTCCCCAGCGTCCACATCCAAGGGGTTCCTGCAGTAGCCATGGCCACTGCACCTGGGGGGGAGGGGGGAGGGAGCAGGGTGGAGAGGCCACAGTGATTCTGGGAACGCCTACCCCACTTGCCCCACTCTCTGGATTCCCACCACAGACAGAACCAGGAAGATGTCCCCACCACCAACGTCGAGTTGTACCCAGGGACTGTAGGGTTAAGGGAGGTGGACGTCCAGGGCCCTCCAGCCCGAGCAGGGCGAGGAGAGAGGACGAGAGAGGGACACACGGCCGCATCCGAGACCAGAGCCAGACGCAGAGGCACCTCTCCCTCCCTGTCCCCCTCCCCTGGCCTCACCTGCCTGCTCTCGTCCCCCACGTAGGGGGTGGGGAGCCTGCTCCCAGCTCAGCCACAGACTTCTCAGGCACTGTCCTGCCGCCACCGCCTCTTCCTCTTCAGCTCTGGGCACCCGGCCTGGGTTATAACCACCCACTGCTCCCTGAGGCGCATTCCCGGCTAGTGAGGTGCCTGCCGGGCCCCAGCGATCGCTCCTCCTGCCGCCCCCCACACCCGCCCCCACAGCACCCCCCA